AGGTTATCCCTTCATGCTCTGGACAAACAGGGCAAAGGGCTTTTTGGGTTTTTGTTGCCCTCCTCCCCTCCACAGGTAAATTCTACATTGCCCCTGCAGTTTCATTTTGCTTCCCCCCACCTGCTGAACTAAAGGGTGGTTTTGGTTATGTGACAGGAGTTTCCCTGTGGGCTGTACAGGATACATGGGAGATTTTCTTGGAAGGGCAGTCCCTCAGCCAAATAGCAAGAGGGATGGCCCAAGAGGAGTTCTGACAGAGTGGGTATTTTGGGCTGTAACAGAGGTTACTTCGCAGAACAGGCTGCAGATACCCATCCTCCTGGCCCTTGCTGGGTCTAAGTAAGGAAGGGAGTCTAATACAATGTCAGGAAAAACCCTGCCTACTCTGTTGGGCATGATGAGGTATTTTCAATACCAATGTCTTCCTCTTTTCTTGAAAAACATGTTGTATATCAGAATACAGGTTTCTGTTATAAATTGGTTTTTTGAATTCTTATTTCAGTGGTTTTTTGAATGCTTTCTGCCCTGCCAAGAGAACATAAAAGAGTTAATATTTTTTTTTCTTCTTGTCATTTTCCAAACCTATGAAGGAAGCCAAGTCAGATTCTGTACAAGCTCTCTAATGAGTTCTACAGCACTCTGATGTGAAACATGTTTTCTTTTTGCATGTGTGTTGTAATGTTACTGAGGTTTCTTTCTACCAGGTTTAATGCATTTTTCCAAGCTGAGCAAGATCTGATCTTCTGCCATAAGAAGGTGCAAAGAAAGAATTTGTTGACTAAAAGAAGGGTAATTCAGCAGAAAACTCTAGACTTTGTTTCACAAATCACATTGCTTGAAGAAAGAAACTGAAAGTTTTTGCTACTTGCTCCAAGAATAGGGAGCTAGATTAAGTTAGTGCACAATATGTTGTTACACATTCTAGCATTGCAGCTACTTAGACTTCATGCCTTTTAGTAATACATGGAAACTGTATTTATTCCTGGTGGAATAAAGAGACAGCTCCCTGCCGTCTACGCCAAAATCTGTTTGTGTTTGTTTTTGTTTTAAGGTCTAAATATTGTACTGGTTACATGAGTTGCTGAAAATATGTATCTCTCAGAGAGGGTAAGTGACTAAATATTTTTAAAGAAGCAAATTAAAATCTCTCTGCTTGTTATTTCTTTATAGTGTTACTAAGTAATGGTGCTGGGAAGAGGTATATTGACTAAGATAAATTGAATTTTTAAAATGTAGTCATAGACTAGACAGTTTTTACTATTAACAATTATCCTTACTGTGGTTTCTGCCCATTTTTATGCCTAACTGTGCAAAGCATATATTAAAAATATTTAATAGGATCCTTTTTGACTGCATCACTGAACCTGTAATACAAATAATGAAATTAGTAGAAGAGTTAGAGTAATTTCTTGTTTGCCTGAAACTTGGGCTAGAAGTTGTTTTCTTCTCCCATCCACCCCTCTGGGAGAGGATCATCTAATTGTCCAAACCCTTTCTCCACCCATCAAAAACAGTAATTTGTGTAAAGTGGGATAGTTTCCTATGGGATCTCCTGTGGGAATTTGAAAGCACTCACATTGAATATTTTAATGTCTGCTTCATGTTGCTGGTGGAGTAACTATCTTTTCTTTGAGGGCCAAGAAAATAGGACTTCACTCTTAGGCATTTTGCCTATGTTTAAATACAAGGCCGCCTGAACAGATATATATATATATATATATAAATACTCATTTTTTATAGGCTGTGTACAGGTTTGTGTGCTAATACAAAGATTACAAAAAAGACAATAGCAGTGAAGGAAGACAAATAAAACATCAGGATTTGAAAGGAGTTTGTTGATTCCAACACATCCATCAGCAGACAGAACACACAGTAAAAAGTGCATAGGTTTGGATGTGTAGAGAGTGTCTGGTAAGTGGGTAACAACTCAATTTCCTTTAAACTGATGCCAGATGCCTTTTGGAAAGTGTTCTGTTGTTTGGCCCAGGTTTCTGTTTCATCCCTACCTCGTGAATAACCAGGCCCTTCCAGGACTGGTGGTCATTTAACTGCTGGAAATACTAACTCCCACTTTCCCAGAAGGGCACGTGGATTTGGGGAAGAAACACGCAGACTGTGTCATCTGCTGACTCGTGGTTTAATCTTTATTTTGCACTTCCAGCTGATAAGACCACTTTGTGAAGAAGTAATACAGGAAATGATGCAGTGCAGAAACCAAGAGCGGCAGAAAGGGAAATGGAATGTACTGGCAAGGGCTCAGCCCTGCAGACAAGCTCTCTGCTTCTTGGAAACAAAAATCTCCACATACATTGTGGTTTTGGTTTTATTTGCTTGGTTTTGTTGTTGTTTTCTCTTTGTCTGCTTGTTTGTTTTTTTGGGTTTTTTTAGCTTAAGGTTTTGGAGCTTAGAGCAACTAGTGTACAGCAGCCTGTGAGTTTGTTCCCCCTCCCTTTTATTGCTGCTTGTTCAGGGCTTGGAGTGTGCTTAGGCTTTGTTTTGGAGGCAGGACTTCAGTAGGAATCCCTGGCTGGAGGCTGGTGCCCAGCTGAGTCCTGCTGAGCTGCTGTACTTCCAAGCTCACCTCCAAGCCCTGTGTCTAACGCTGTTCCTCCTGCTCCCAGCAGCTGTTGCCACTGAGATGCCACCATAGCTTTGGTGAGGGTGAAACTTGTTTTGGAGTGCATGTCTGTGGGAGTGGAATATGTGTGTGCTGCAGGATTTGATCCAAAAACTTCAGAGAATCTGTTCCTTTGGTCTGACTGCTTGGGGCTGCATTGGAGCATCATCTTAGTCTGTGCAGAGCTTGTGCACTAGCCCATGTTAGGGCTGTATTTTCAGGCACTGATATAAACATACAGTCTTAACAGGAAGGACTTTTCCACTTTTCCTTTTTCACAGCAAGTAGCTGGGTGAAAAATGGGTCAAGCCTAGGTAGAACTGCATCTGCAAACATTATCAGTGTTGAATGAAGCTCGGGTCAAAATGTAGACTTTGTACTTCCTCCTTTATTAGAGCTTCAACTCAAGCAGTTTAAATCTCTTTGGTTTAATTCAAAGGGAAGTGAAGGAGAAAGCTTTACTTGATAAACTACTGGAACTTGTAACTTTGTGTGTGGAACTTGTATCTTTTGTTTGACAAGTGCAGAGAAAAGATACTTAGAATATTGGTTGATACAGACTATATATGAATTGGGAATAACTCAGTTACAAATGTATTTAAAGCACATGCACTGGGGTTCTGGTAATTCAGTTCTTAAATTAGCACAGCATTTTAATAGAGCACTTTACAGTGCATGTAAGGATAAAGTATACCTGGAATACAGTCAGTGACAGTAATGGAGTTTCAGTTCATTTAACAGTATAGCACATGCCTATGTAACAAAACAAATTCTTAAATTTGCCCCAGGCTCATGCAAATCTTCCCTTGCATTAACATTATTATTTCAAATACAGTTCTTAGCATAAAAGAAATGGGATGTACCAGTTTGAAGTGTAGGTAGATGTGGCCTGTGTCTTAGTCCATAATCATTATTCACATAAAGGTAGTTTCTGCAGTCAGCCCAATAAAACTGAACCTCTGCAATTAAGTAACTGTTCTAGTGATAAGTTAATTTGAATAAAGTGGATGGTTTTCAGCCTAAAATTCTTTGAATATAGTGGTATACTATGAAACCATTGCAGTGTATGACAGTCAAGAGGGTAAGTGTGCCATAGCATTCGTAATTTTAAGGTCTACGATCCTTTCTTGGTATAGCTGTGAAATCCTGTCTGACGTGGGTGTGTTGACACCTTTTATTCTCTGTGTGTATAGATTGCTGGTTGGTTGGGTGTTTTTTATGTTGTTCTGATGGCAACAAAAGCATACATATCCTTTTCCCCTTCCCCCTTCCTCTGCAACCTGTTGGTATTCAGTCCAGGATATGTTTCCTGTCTTGTCCATTTGAGAATCAGTGGTGTGGTGCTCTTTGTCTCATTCTCCCCTCCCCTGCCGCCCCGCCAGTCCTGGGTCTCTTCTGTTTCCCTTGCCAGAGCCTTTTGCCTGCTCCCAGCCTGGACAAGGACAAAACCTGCTGCTCACTGTTGGGACTCCTTCAGATGTGGCATTCCTCCCCCTCTTGACCCATCTCTTCAGTTCCATTCCTTGTCTCCCAGCTTGAGGACTACTGTACTGTCTAAAATCCTCTTATCTGGACTTCCTTGTCCTTCCTACTCTTTCATGAGTTCTAGAATCTAACAGGCACACATTGCAGCATGAAGGGTCATTGGGTAATCAGTGAAGTTCATGATAGTTTTCCCTTACTGCTCAGGCTGCTCAGGAGCTCTGAGAGCTCTTGGATGGGGTGAGCAGATGCAGTTTTCTTTCTCATTTGAGTGAGTGAGGGATAAGATCTTTCTAGTTTCACTTGGGTTTTTTTTTATTATTTTTTATTTTATTTTTATTTGTTCCTCAAAGTAGGTAAAACTGAACTGGTTTGGGTTTTTTTTCAGACTGAGTTATGCTTAGGTCTAGTGCAGTGATTTTTGAACATCATGCCAGGCAGTTTGGAGAGACCTGGGTATCACATTGCTGTTGATGAATATTGCTTCCAGCTGCTCTGTAAAATAAATAATAAAAAAAGCAGTGGTGATCCTGCCCTGTTTCCTTGGGATGTTTTGTTGGTTAAGGTTGCAACAGCTGACAGGCAGATTGTAGCACCCCTCACACTTAATAGTGAAAAATTTAAATTGAGGGACTGTTAGAGGATAGATTTAAGGTGAACTACATTTCTAAGATAGGGGTGTACTGTGTTCAGCAGCAAGTCCTGCTGCTTAAGTTTTCATCAGATCTGCCTTGAGTCCAGTCCTGGAAGTTGTCAGTATTTGTTGTTGTTTTGTTGTTGGTTGTTTTTTGATCACATCACTCTCCTGGGTTGAGGTGGGGGATATTTTTAACTGCTGTATGTTAACTTGAAGGGTAAAATCCTTTTTTTTTTGCTCTTTCTCTTTGATACTCTCCTTTAGGTTGTCAACCAGAAGGTTTTAGAATAACGAGAAGGTTGTGACCATCAAGGGGGGATGTCAGCACTGCCTTCCTGGGACTGGAGGATTGAAATGGAGAAAGGACCAGAACTGTTTGATCCAGGCTGCTTTTGACTGCTGACACAATCTGCTGTTCCCTGGTGGTGGTGGTGGAAGAACAAGGCAGTTGTTCCTGCTTGGTTCTGTGGTGTCACCACAGCAGGGTCACTATGAATGTAACAAGCTTATTCTCCTTCACCAGCCCAGCAGTGAAGAGGCTGTTGGGGTGGAAGCAAGGGGATGAAGAAGAGAAGTGGGCAGAGAAAGCTGTTGATGCATTAGTGAAAAAACTGAAGAAGAAAAAAGGTGCTATGGAGGAACTGGAAAAAGCACTAAGCTGTCCTGGTCAGCCCAGCAACTGTGTGACAATTCCTCGTTCCTTGGATGGCCGGCTGCAGGTGTCACACCGCAAGGGGCTCCCGCACGTCATTTACTGCAGAGTGTGGCGCTGGCCCGACCTGCAGAGCCATCACGAACTGAAACCTCTGGAATGCTGCGAGTTCCCCTTTGGTTCAAAACAGAAGGAGGTTTGCATCAATCCCTACCACTACAAGCGGGTGGAAAGTCCTGGTAAGGTTCTTCCTTGTTTGTACCTTTACACCTTATCTGAACAATGCAAAGTGTGGCAATTAATTATGTGACTCATCGGCTTAAATAAGCAAAAGTGGCTGTTTGCACATGTCAGATTCTTCCTCTGCAGTTTATCTGGATGTAAGCTTTAATTAGCAGTTCTCCCTTTCATGGGGGCGAATGCTTCACTTGTGTAAATGTTTTATCACTGCACAGAGGTAGTCTTAGTATGTATCTTAGGATGCTGGGCCTGGTATCATCTGGGAATGCTGGTACCCACTATCCCTCAGTTAATTTGTTGGTTACTCAACTGGGCAAATCTGTGATTTTGTATGAAGCATTGCAGGCTAACATAAAGGATTTATTTGCATTATTTGTGCTTGAAAACTATTCTGACACACAGCAGTAGTAATACTGCTAGTATTAGCAATGGTAGTATTTTCAAATTATTATTTCAGTTTATCACTTCACTTTCTTCAACCTACAGAAAATGATATTGGTTTTAGTGTCTCTCAGAATTGCTGCCTTTTAAAAAGATTTTGAGTTTAGACAGCAGATTGTAATCACCTCAATTTGAACTTTGATAGCCCTGTTTGATTGTATGTGAAATTCTACTGTCAGCTGTTCAGCAAACAGTTTTCATACCTGTTACCCACTGCCTCACTTCTTTCTGAAGGTGCCACCCATTCTCTGTCTAGTCTCCTCTTCAAGGGCCAAACCTCTCTTTGATAACTTCACGCTTAATTTCACTCATGCAAGTTTATTATCAGGGAATGCTTCCAGGGACTAAGATGAGCTGTACTTGGATGTGTCATCACTAGTCTCCAGCTGTTTGTGAGGGTGTACAGGGACAGCTGCAGAAATGCACTGTAGGCATGGGTGGATTTCCCTGGTTTAAATGTGGGAAGGCAATCAGTGTTAGCCTTTTCAGAAACTCTGCAGCTATCTGTAGAGTGGCAAGGATACACAGAACCATGATGGAAATGAGGTTGTTGAAAGATTGTTTTGCTGAGGATGGAAATTGCATTTGTCTTGGATCTGCAATGCACAGTGCATATCTTGATGTTAAATATTTCCCTTTGCTGTGTTAGTATTAACTTGGAAGTCATGTGAATGGCAGATGGAATACCCATAATGTTTGTATTAATGCAGCAGCAGCTTGAACAAAGGAATTCAGCTCTGGAAAAACAGTTATGAAAAAAAATTTTAAAAATCTCAACAATTTCATATTAAGTACAAGAGGGATAATAAAACAGTAGTGTACTTGTACTGCTAGCTGTGTGCATATGTCTGGGTTGGTTGCTTGTGTTCAGTATTCCAAAATACTGAAAATTAAGATTCCTGAAACACCTCTCTTTCTATTAGACTGAGCAACAGTTGGGCTCTTACTGTAATGCCAGATTACATGTTCTAGCTCATTTTGCTTTAGTCTTGAAGACAACTACTGAGTTTGAGAACATTCTCATATGAACCATTTATGTCATATTTAAAACCAGGTATTTGTAAATATCCTGTCACTTCACAGAATCACAGAATCACTTAGGTTGGAGAAGACCTCTGAGATCATTGAGTCCAACCTTTGACCAGACACAACCATGTCAGCCAGCCCATGGCACTGAGTGCCACATCCAGTCTTTCAGAGATGGTGACTCCACCACCTCCCTGAGCAGCCCATTCCTACGTCAGATCACCCTTTCTGTGAAAGAATTCTTCCTAATGTCCAACCTAAACCTCCCCTGGTGCAGCTGGGGACTCTGTCTGTATTCTGTGTTCACTTCAGTGAGTTATGCAAGACAGAATAAAACTTTAAAAAGATGTCTAACTAAAATGTACGTTTTCAGCTGGGTATGTATTGTAGGAGGGGTTTGTGTTTAGTCAGCCACAGATTGTTTTGAGGGATATTGCACAGAGCTGAGTGGGAAAACAGCTTTTGGAAATAGGGGGTAGCTGAACTCCCATTTGGCTTGGAGAGCTGTGCTCTGTAACTTCTGACTTCTTTTTTCCTTTCCCTTTCTTGTTCTTGCTGTCCTCCAAACATGATATTTATCTTCATTTTGTGACAGTCACTCCCAAATTCTGTTAACCATTTTTTCCCATTTTTGCCAGGACATTAAAACACCATTATTGCTTACACTTTGAGATTAATGGGTAGTGGGAATTCATGCATGAGTCACTATTTACAACAATCTATGGACTCAGGCAGATGTCAAGGTTTGTATTTCCCAGAAGTCTTGCCTTCTCTTGAAAAAACAAAATTGGAAACTCATATTGTATATGATACATGTTTTGTGTGCGAGGTACATCCGAGGCTCTGCATGACAGCGTGGTTTCTGTTTAACTGTTTCATGCAGAACCAGTTACTGGAGATCTGAAGGGTATGATCCATGCATGGGATGGCATCTATCCCTTCATTCTTCTGCTGATTGTTGTGTGATTTGTTTCAGTGTTGTGTAAGGTTTGAGGAATGGATTAGTGGTAAATCCTCAAATATGTAAAGTAAGGTAGTGTTCTCCATTGGGAAGTCAGTGCTGTGGATACATCTCAGTTTCCACAGTGCCAGAGGCATAAATGGATTTTCTGCCTTAACACCGTATTCCATCCTCACTGTTTAGCTTGCAAAGATAAGCTTGGAAAGCATGAGAACTGGCACTCTGTGGTGTGTCTGCCAGCTACAAAGCTACACCTGAATCCAAGTGAGATTTTTCTGTTAGCCAACCTAGACAGGAACAGGTTGTAAACAGTGAGAGGAGGCAGAAAACTATCAGCAGTCTCAAAGAGAACATCACCCAGTGTCCCTGCACACAGAGGGGAACGTGGCATCTGGTAGGCACATGGGTGTGACATGATGGGACCATGCTCATGCCTGACCTGATCAGGAAGCTCTGCACAGGCACAGGGGCCTGTCTGTTCTGTGGTATGTCAATCAAGAAAACTAAACTCACAGAAAACTGCTCTTTGGCACAATTAACTTGGCAAGCTCAGTGCCCTTAGCTCTCTCCCTTGGAACCAGATGGTGGCACAGCAGCGTGGGAGCCCAGGGTGGATGTGAGGAAGAGTGGCCCTCCTGTGACACTGTGACACTCCTTCAGCCTGGAAGCAGTGAGCTGAGCTGCTGGAGCGATGGAGCTGCACTCCGTGGCAGGGTGCCTGGGCTGCTCCTGCTCCTTGTGTTGTGCCAGCCCAGCTGTTCCCTTGTGCTGAGCCAGATCACAGTCACTTTTCCTCTCCCTGCTGTGTTATCTTTCAGGCTGATCAGAGCAGCGCAGAGGCTTTCATTCTGGCTGCAGGAACATCTGTAGCAGCATGGCCCTGTGGAGGACATCTGGGAAGGAGTGGAGGTGGAGGGACAGGAGGGGAGAAAGTAGAGACTTGTTGCTGAGAGTGGGAATGCAGCCTTGCGCTTTGAGTGCCAGAGTAAATATCTCCTTGAGATGGGTTAAAGAAGCTCACTGCTGCTGTTCCCTAGGTCTGTTGTGTGCAGAATTATTTCTGGAACAGGGTAGTTAATGGCTGTCACATTTCTCCCTTGGCAAGGCAAAGCAAAGCTTTTAATTAAGGAGAGCAAGGTCTGAATTTGATGCCTCTTAAAAATTGGTACACTTTTCTGAACTGGTGTGCTTGCTTGGCTGAATCTGCTGCTTCTCCTCAGTTTTATTTTTTGGTTTAGAGATACCTGTTGGGATTATCCTTAAGTATGATCAAGACTTGCTAAATAATTAGGTGTACTGCATACACAGAGGCTGGGAGGAAAAACCTGACACAACGTTTCTCATCCCTCTGAAAATGCCACAGATGACCTCTCAGGGTTTGCTGGAGAATGTGTCCCTCCTGAGACACTTCCTTCCAGTATCTTATTCATTAGGTTTCTGTGGAGAAACAGCCTCTGCTGCCTTCCTCTGTCCTCAGTTATGTCAGCAGAACCAGATGAAAGCTATCATCCAGAATTTTAGGGGTAAAAAACGCCTGGATCCTGTTTGCTCTAACAGCAAAACAAGAAGAATGGAATACGGAACAGGGAGGAAGAAGAGGTACTTAAATTGCCACTGCTATTAAAAATAATAATAATAAGTCACACCTCTAATGTGGCTTTAGGGGAGGAGGTTCAGTTCTTTTGCCTTAGCTAAAGGGAAAAGGAAGGAAGATGAAGAAACTGAATATTTAATTTTCTTAAAGTGCTAGTGAACACCAGCTCTCCTCCATTCTGATGCAGATTTCTGTTTGCCCCTACTGTGTTTGCCCCATCATCCTGCCAGGTTCTGACTTTATAATATGTTACAAAGGAAGCAAAAGAGAAATTAACTTTGTTTTCATGTTTAAAGTGTGTAAGTGGTTGAAAGTGCAGTGTTTCCCCCAAAAATGGCTATCCCCCATTTTTTTGCAATTACCAATTAAACATAAATAAAAAGGGCTGGATGGTTTTTCTGTTAAGCTTCTCTTCTTCAGAGAGCTGGTTGCTCTATATCAAGGGGCTTTATAAAGTTGATGGTGCCAATGTTCCAGCCAAACTGGGGGCAAGCAGTGGTGGCTTTTTGGGAATGCAGACAAATGCAGTGTCATAACAGTTGAATTTTCACAGCTGAAAACTGTGATGTTCCTCTTAATTATAACCATGAATTCAAAGTGTGTGTCTGCTTCTGCAAGCTTGTTGCTGGCCAGAAACATTTCACCTGTATGTACAGCTGCTTTTTGCCATAAGAGCAGGCCAGGTCCCCAGGCTCTGAGTACAGCGGTAGGTGTGTCATGCTGATTTTGCTCTTGGTGTGGACTCTCTGCCTATGACTTTAACATGATTATTTCCATATTTGTCTTTGATCTCCTCTGCTTTTGCTCTCAGTGAGGCTCTGAAAGGCAGCACACCTACTGCAGGCTCCCACAGAACCAGGCCTGGTGGAGGATAATGCCAACAGTGCCAGGCCTCTAGGAGAAGGGAAGAGGAGGGCGAGGAGTGGAAAAAGCGAACGGGAAGCTGCTTCTAAGGTGTAAGGGAGGGCAAAATTGCT